CGCTGGCCTGGGGCTGGAGAAGGGGAAGGACTCAATACCGCACAGGGGTAGGAGCTGCCCTAGAGGGGTCAAGACCCTCCTCGGCGTAGCAGGACTCAAAACTGGCAGGAAGACAGAGAGGTCTGGGGTTCGCTGGCTGCCCCGCGTTCTGTGCTACACGTGCAATATATCTGTTCTGAATGTTCCCACGGTCAGTTCATTCAATACCCCTTGAACCACTGTAGCTAGGTGTTCTGCGTCCATTCCGGTGACTTTTATTCGAGTGCAATATTTCAGTAGACACGTAGTGACCTGGTATGCTTTGTGTTTTAGAGCATCTGTGAGCAGAGCGATGCAATTAAGTTTAAAACCTTGTAAATAAAACAGGTTGCAAACCAAAAAAAAAAAAAAAAATTAGTATTAGGCTTTAGGCTCGCATTTAATTTCTGTGAGTGTTTCAGTATCGTGCATTGGGCCGCCTCAGTACAGACCCTGTGTTCTCTGTGCTGGTATTAATGGAGGAGTGGCTCCTCGGCTGTTGAATGCTCCCTGTTAATGCTTTACTGCTTTCACTGTATTCATTTTTCTAGACTCCTGTCTGCACAAAATGCAATAAATGATTTTATTACACCCTTCACTGCTCGCACGGGGAGTTGTCGCTTGCTTCCAAGGTCGCCACAGCTACCTTGCACTTGGCTGCTACCACCTCCAGAGCAAGGAGCCAGCCCCAGCAGGGAGCAGCAGGCTGCAGGGGGAGCAAATCATCGGGAGAGGGGCAGCCTCTCCCCAGTGCCACAGTTCCCACGTCCCAGCTCACGCACATTCCCCATCACCCCCGCAGATGCTTTACCTCTCTGCGGGGCTGCAGAGGTGGTGAAAGGGAACCAAGAGAGAGACTGGAGGAGGGGAGATGGCAGACGGACATACTGCCATCCAATTTCAGGTGGCGTAGCAAGGGCAGCACGAAGTGGGGGGAGGGCAGTGCTAAATGCAGAGGGACCGGTAGCCCTGACTCCACACAGCAGCCACAGTTAACGGCAACTGCGGCACCGACACCGGGCCAGCGCAGTGCTGGCCTGAGCGCACACCCCCCCCTCCCACCACCGGCCACCAGAGAGGATTCGGACCCCTCACACCAACCCCTGCCACCCAACCGCTCCAGCGCGCAGGTCCCTCAACGGTCACGGGGGCTGCTCTGCCCAAGACCCTCCGAGTCCCCTGAGTGAGGGCAAGTACCTGCGAGGCCCTTCCCAACCAATGCGCTACAAACCGAGACAGGCCACAGTCTTGTCACAGCGGGTCACAGCCAGGCTCGCACGCTTTCGGCTTAGCGTCCAGCGCTGGGCAGCATCTGACACAGCTCGTCTGAAGAAGAGAGTAATGGCAAACATGGTGGAATCGTGTGTTCCAGTAGTGCTCGAGCTGTCAGGTGTCAAAAATGCAACAAATCGTTTTTCCTGCCTTTTTATTAAAAAGTAATGTCCTCTTGTTAACAGCACAGAGAGGAAAGAAAAAAACGCTACAACACAAACCACCTGGGACAAAGAAAATCCTCTGCTCCAAGAACGCTGCTCTCTTGGTTTCCTTCGGTTCTCTGCGGGAAGCCGACGGGCTCGGAGGCGGCCATGATGGGGAGGACCGCACAGCTCAGAGATGCTTTGTGTTCTGGTATCAAAGTATGTTACTGGTTAAAAACACGGTGAAGAATCACTGCCCGCTTGTCCACTCAGCTATCTGCTGCAGCTACCAAAGTGTTGGAAAAAAATGTATAAAATGACGGTATTGCCTCTTGGCACTGCCCCTGCGCCTCAGACAGACGGACAGACACCCATCAAGAGTGAGAGGGGGTTTCGGAGAGCAGGCGTTCACCCCTGGTAACCGGCTGCAGGTGTCCCCGAGGGAGGGACGTGGCTGTGGCTAAGCTGTTGGGCTACAGTAACCAACCATCCCACAGCAAGATTATCAGAAAAGGAAATTTGTATGCCAAATTTAACGGATTGATCTTAACGCTGACTGCCTGGTGTGGGAAAATTGACAGACCATTGGAAATCTCTGCCTTGGCTGGAAGCTCGTCTGTTTTGGATCCGCCACAGTGCTCAGACCAAAGTTGCTGGCTTCTGTGAGCTGGGCGAGGTGAGGAGCATTCCTCTGCCTCACCCTGCGGGGACACGACAGTCCAGCTACGGAAGGACCAAATGGCACGGTCCAGGGTTGCTGCGTAGTGGTCAGGCCTGTGCTTCATGAGTTCAGCTGCTAGCGCTACCGCTGTAGTTTCCAGCTGGCTTATATGCCATCAAAAAAAAAAAAGAAATAAAAAAAGAAATCTGAAGAAAAATAGTGCCCATTCCAAAAAGGTGGGTCCCCAAGGGGGCCCAGTCAGTGTACCGCTCTGTTCAGCCCCCTATTTCCCCAAAACCACTGACCCAGAACTCTATTAGGACCGTTCAGCGAGACCAGACTGCACCACAATGTGAAGATGCACCAGCTACTACTGGGAGTGAGGAAAATGCAGGAGGACTGTCGTTGCAGCAGCTTCTGGGACTGGGCAAAACAGCCAATTATCCAAAGCAGCTCCCAGCACATCGTGCCGCTGAGAAAATAGAGCGTACTTCACCACACACTGCTAACCAGACCACGGTGAGGAAGGGCAGCGCTAGCCACAGTCAGCAGCAATGCCGCTGGGGGTACACTCTCGCCAAAGTGGAGAGGACATGCATATCCAGGGGCACTTGTCCCTCGTCAAGGACAGGAGACTCTTTAAACAGCTATAAGTATGGAATGGCAAAGGGAAGGGGAAAGGGCCTGACAGCTCAGCTTTAATAGTGTCGCTGGTAGGAACCCATAGGTTGCTGGGCTGAGGACCCCGCTCGCCCCTGGGCCACGGTTTGGCTCACTAGGTGGGAGAGTGCAGGACCACTCTGGATAAGGGTGTCCAAGGCTTTCTGTACACTGGGGTTGTCAAAGTTGATACCAGAGGACACTGGCCTTTGAGCAGGTACATTGCCAGGTGCAGGGAGGCGATTTTGGTGCTGACCATAGAGCGACTGAGCTTGTGGAGGAGCTCCAGGTCTTGGACCTGCATTTCTTGAAGGGCCTTGGAGCGTAGGAAGCTGCGTGCTTGGAGTCTGCAATCTCTGCTGAGCCTGGTTTAAGTTTCCAGCACTCATCTGTGCTGACCGGGCCTGACCGCTGGCCATGTTAGCAAAGTTCTGGTTCGGAGTGCTGCCCGAAGTGCCCGCAGAGGCTGCAGAACTGCTGTTTGCTACAGCAGCTGCTGCTGCCCCGCTGTTGAAGAGACTGAGGATTTTTGCTTGAAGCTCCTGCTGAGGATTAGAAGAGGACACGGGAACAGAAGGAGCAGAGACCATGGGCTGTGAACCCTGATGAGCCTGAGAGCTTGGGAGGCTGGACTGACTACCCAGAGATGATCCTGAAGGTGCCCCCAAAGACTGTCTTGACATGGGTGCTGGGAAAGAAAGGAAAGAGGGTTAAAGCTCTGCAAATGCCCTTGAAGGGGCACCTAAAGAAAACGAGTGAAACAGCTACCAAAGGCACAAGCATCAACGAATATCCCCCCTCTGAAAGGGAGAGCTGCACAGCTCTGGGGAACTCAAGCCATTCAGCTCAGCTGTTGCCCTGCCTGTAGCAGCCAAACCAGTCATGGCAGTCCCGCGGTTTCCCTGAGAGAATCCAGGATAAAAGTTCTTTCACATGAAAGATCTGAATCGTCTCACATGGAATCGTCTCCTCTACAGTCCCAGGACTGTTTCTGGGTCCCACAAGCCACTGTCTGGGGCTGAGAAACTTACCCTGCAGAGAATCAGTGCTTCCCCTCAGCAACCGTTCCTTCCGGTCTCTCAAGTAATTAATTACTTTATCAGTCTCCTCAGCAGTCAGATAGCGATTGTCTGCCAGCAGGTTCAAGAGAGTCTGAATCCCTGGAGGGTGACCTCCCCTGACGCCCTCCTCCACGGGGGGTGGGCGCTCCCGCTCCTGCAGAACAGCTTCGTCTGCCATCTTGGCAGCCTGCCGGGCAATTTCCTCACGCTCCTTCTCCCGTGACTCTGTTTTGTAGCGCTCGTAATTCCTTGCCACCAGCACCATGGCATCAGCTTGGGGCATGTTCCGGTGTTCTGCGCAAGGAAAAGAAACGTTTTAAGCAAACCAAAGTGACGTTAAGAAGGAGGTGCCTCGCCTCACGCACACCAGCACATCTCACCCAGCAGGCAGCACCGCTTTGGGATCGGAAGTGCGGGCTTGGGAAGCTTCCTAGGCACACGGTAACGGTTCCGTTTCCTAAGCTGACAGAAGGCTCGAGGCTATCACCCAGCAAGGCCATCCCCTACCTCATAGCTGAGGGCTCTGAGAAGGTATCGTATCGGCCCAAGAAACATCTTTCTTGCCTCTCACGCCGTTAAAAGGGAAAGCAGCTCCCTCTGCCCCTCACACAAATTCTCCATGCTCCAAGAGGAGACAGTTCCACCCATTCTACTGCTAAAGCCTTGGGCAGATCCAAAACTTGCCCTCTGGAGGCTGATAAAGCTTTCCCAGAGCAGGACAGTGATGGGAATACTGTTTGGTTCTGTACTACCAATACCTCAGTGCAGTGTGTGCGCATGCAGCAGGCGGGGAGGAAAGAAGCACTGGCCCAGTGTCACACTGCTGCTTATGTTTACTAGCCTGGAGCAGTAAGCAGCAATCAAGTTCTTCTGTAATACAATGAGTAACGGTCAATTCCAATTTTTTTTTTGTACTTGCCTTTTAAAGTTTTTGAGGTCATTGTTTCCACCTCACAAAGCACAAGTGCAAATATTTCCCTGAACACAGATTTAAGCAGGGAGATCAAAAGAGAAGGCCTTTACCTTCCAAAAAGTGCCCAAAGCTCTGGGCACCTCACACCTGCAGATCACCAAACCCTACCACCCTTTTCCTCCTAACAGGAAACTGTTACGCCTTGCACAAGTCATGAACGAGTTCCCTGCAACTGATGTGAATGGGAAGGTGGCCGCGTGGAGTTCAGGTGAGCATATTTAATCTCTAGAAAGAGCTGTGGATGAGCTAACGACCAGGGTTCTTATCAGATTTGACACACCGTTAGCTCCCATAAAGAAGAGGAGAAGCTTTGGTGGGAGAAGGGGTGTTAAACCAAAGGAGTCAAAACCAAGGGCAGTGGGAAGCCCAGCGGAAGTGCGCATGAGCTGTACTTGTGCCCTCCTATCACATCCGCATCCGATGGCAAAAGACACTAGGCTTCTCCAGTCGGGAAGCACAAAAAAAACAGTGACTGCATTCAGAAGTTGACTCTCCCAGAGGAATCTCACAAAACGTTGCTTGAGAACACAGTAAGGGAAAATAACCTGATCAGAGCAAAAGGCTGCTTTCCTACACCCACCCTCATGCTCACAACAGCCAAGTCGCACCCTGAGATGGGAAGTGATGTGACAAGTGTAAATGGTGCTAAAATGCCCAAAAGGCGGCGCATGTACGCCAAATCCCTTTATAGTTGCATCTTTTTATAACTCTTCCCAGTTTCAGAATCGGGTGTTCACCTTGACCAAATACGCTATCCTTATTCTGGTTTCCTTAAATCACATTTGGTTTTAAAATCTGTCCCGTCATTTGTCACATTCCAAACACGCTCTCTTTGACAGCAATAGGCAATAAACTGAGGTTAGACTGGCATTGCTCAGAAATCTACCACGGCAATGCAGGAACTTCTACAGCTGGGGTTCATGACTTGCCCTAAGATGCAAAGGCTGGTGACGCTAGGTGCCAAGAATGCAACTGAGGATCTCTCCTGGCAGAAATTAGACACTCCTTTTGACAAGGGACAAATAAAGTACTATGGAAACTTGTAAATAACGATATTCACATTTACAACATGGTGTCAAGTCATTAATAACTGTTTATGTCACAGCAAGGATGAGTTTTGTCCTGTGTGATTCTGCTGGAAAGAAAGTGTCCTAAAGCAGCACTTTGAGCGGTT